GCAATCCATGAATAGAAGACACCTTCTTCGACCTGAGAAATGTCATCTGTGATGAACTGTGATATGATAAACTGACATGCTTAACAGTGAAATGTTGGACACATACCTCCTAAAATTGGGAAAAAGGCAAAAATTCTGCTCTTATTATGTAACATTGACCTGAAGGTCCTAGCCAGTCCTATAAAGCAAGAAAAAAAGACTACAAATTAAAAAGGAATAGTAAAAATGTTTTTATTTACAGACAGAATGATCATGATTGAAATACTCAATATTGTTAAGATCTTAATTTACTCTAAATTAAGTTATAGATTCAGTTCAATCCCTTATAAAATCCCAATATTTCTTTTTATAGAAGTAAATAACCTGCTTGAATATAGATATGGAAAAACAAAGGAGCTAGATAAAGAAAAAAATCTTGAAGAACAAAGCTGGAGGACTTAAACTTTCCTAATTTCAAGACACAATGAAGCTAGAGTAATAAAGACTATCTGATATCAATGTACAGTTAGGCAAATAGATCAGTGGTAAATAATGGAGGGCCTGGAAATAGGCCTGCTCAAAGATGTCCAATTAATTTTTGTTAAAGGTGCTGAAGCAATTCAATGGAGAGAGGAAAAGTTTTCCAACGAATGGTGTTAGAACTCATAAACATATGAGAAAAAATGGACATCAGCCTCTGCTTCACCCTATGCATAAAAATTAATTTGTTTCATAGATCTAAACATAAAAGCTAAAACTATAATGCATAGGAGAATATTGTTGCAAATTTGGAGTAGGAAATGATTTCTTAGGAATGGAAATACTAATAAAGAAAAAATTCATAAATTGGTCTTCATCCAAATTAAAATTTCTGCTTATTAAAAAATACCACTGAGAAAATGAATAGACAAGCCACTGACCTATATAAATCAACAATAAAAAGCCAGCCTACTTTTTAAATGGGCAAAATGCTTGAAGAGACACTTCCATAAAAAAGATATAAAATGGTCCATAAGCCCATGAATGTGTGCTCAACG